GAAATAAACTATCTCGATTCTTCTCATATGTCAAAAACAAAGAATTAAGTTTACATTTTTACAATACATTCTCAGATAAAGTTGCATGTTCATTCTACGATGTTTTAATGCAATAAAAACGAACGATAGCCAGTTACTTATATTAATCGAAGTAGAGAATATAGAATAGTTTAAGACATCTTTTATTTACGCAGGTCATATTAACTGTCTGGAAAAAGACAAATTTTGAGTAACATTCTTTTTTAACTCAAAATAGTCAGGTTTTACAAGTATGTTATATACGTGAAAGTATTCATTAAATTTATTTTTAGAAGCTCATATTGTAATCAACAATTGTTGTTTAATAAGTAAAGAAGATAACATTCAAATACTTGACAAAAAGAGGATAAAATAAAATATTCTAAAACTTTCATACTAGATGGAATTTGATAATAAATTTATTATTTATATAATCATTACTCGAAAATATTTTTTATACTACGATCAGAATAAATCATATCAGGTAAGAAAATCAAACTGTTAATTTAAAATCTTACGATTTATTCTCTACTGTAGACTATCCATTAAAAATAACTAAAAGAATTTTCTTCTTGTCTATGCTAGCATTACTCTTTTCATTTGTTAAATTTGTATTAATGTACCCCATGTTACTTTATTCGGTATTCTTATCTAATCGCCTTCTGTATATAGACTATGACGCTGTTTCGAATCTGCGCAGTTAAAAAAAGAACGATATATTCTTTCAAATTATTTGTAAAGACAATACACAGGTATCATTTATTTTATTAATCACCATTTTTATATAAATATCTATGTTTTGGATGAATTAACTTTTTGTACTTTAATTTCTAGTTTAAAACCTATTTTACTGTATGCTTTTCTGGTAAATAATTATCAAGTATCTCTCGATTATACTATTATTGTAAATAATACAATAAAAATTTTCTATTCTATGAAATTTTAAGAACGTATTTGTAAGTGGTTATTGAATTTTCTATCAGATAATGACGTAATCGGAAATCTCTTTCTTCTATGACGACTTATCGGTATTTGTATATCTTGAATATATTTCAAGGTAATCTAAACTTATTTTTAATAGATTAGATTTTATAAGGTTATGTTGCTCGAAACAAAAATGATCTTAACATTTAACAGATCATATTTTGTACTAGGTGTACACATAGGTTATTTAAAATATGTAAGACAAACTAAAGAAGTTTAGTAACTGTCTGTTTTATGTAAAGAAAAGAACAGAAAAGTTCTGAAAATTATTTATAAGCTAATGACATTTGCTAATACGTTTCAAGATGTTCATATGATCAAATTTCCTACAATTTCTTTTTTTGAGAAGATCGATAAACAGCTGTTAATTCATTGTGTTGTATGGATATCTAAGACTTAGAAAGAAATGTAATTCAAGGTCTAATTTTATCTGTTAAAATAGAAAAGGTATTTGTACTCATAAAAAAATTGCGCACGAACGTGCGATTAGACTATCTGGGGATATATGAATTGTTATGTTATCGTTTATATATGAAGCATGCTATACACAATAACGTATTTGTGCTCACATATGCGGAAATTGATGCAGATGTGAGCGCTAGAAAAGCGTAGAATGAACAAACTTTTAGCATATATATATGAATCTTTTAGCAAACGTAACAACTAAATTTAAATATAAACATTGTTCGATAATACAAATAGAGTACAAATTAAATGATCAGTAAAAAATTTGAACTGTCAGTAGAATAATTAATGGTCAGTGACTTTTGAATCTGATCAGTAATTGAATCATTTTATCAGTATCTAAACTAAAATATCAGTAGTTAATTATGTTTGATCAGAGAACTATCGCATTTATATCAGTTTTCACCGTTCTATAAAATCCATCGATATCATATATATGTTGTCCTACTTATCGTCTTTGTTTCTGTTTGACCTACTTTGTATATACCATCACGTCTATTCGATATCTTACAGTAATAGATGAGCACGTATCTCCAGCGATTGTTATTTCAATGCAAGAATCCCCTCTTCCAGATAAAAAAGCAATTTTCGTCAGAAATACCAACTCAGAGATTTATAAATAGTTAGATAGCCGATAATCTATACTTTCGAATGCACTATGATTTATTAGTTTTATGATGGTTTCTGAAGATTTGACTGAAACACCCTACGTAAAAAGATTTTGTTTTTTAGAACTTCAGCTATTGAAACTATTTGAGTTTTTCTCTATACCACTTTTTAAAGAGAATAAACCTCAATAATTAAAGTAAAAACTTGTTCTTGTGTTTGACCTCTCCATGTAACAAAGACTTTTTCGTCGTTTTAAATGCTGCAAAGTTCTAAAAGGTTTTTGAATAAGCAAAAGCTCAGTGCTGCAATCTAACAAAGTCAAAAGTTTTATTTTCGATTTAGTTGCTTACAAAAAAATTCTCCTTTTTTAAAAACCCGGCTTTGTTACGCTATAGCGGCAAGCTTTTTTACATTTTGATAGTACTCAGAGATCCGTATCATCAAAATTGCGAGAAACCTTTGATACACGGACACCTTTTTTTTAACTCTTAACATTACGATAACCCTCGCAAAACCCGATATAATGAGTTCAACTGAGGATGTGGCTAAGATATTGCCTCTCACCGCACACCAACATCCACCCCTCAAAAGCTAAAAAAGCATTATTTATTTAGTAAATTTCTGTTACCTGAACTTCTAATATTTTTACTGATATAAGTACAAAAATTACTGATCAAAACTTATATATTTTTATTTTAGAAGACAGAAACTAATCATTCGGAATAAAATACTGATCATTTAATTAAGGGCCCATTTTATTTCAAAAAATTAATTTGTTTTCAATATAAATACGTTCTGTTCATATATATGAGCAATGACATAGCTAATTATGCATATATAAATATATACATTATAAATTATAATAAAAGTATCAAGTAATGGACTATCATTTTGCTGTTAAACATGTACTCCAGCTTTTATCAAAAGAAGAGTTGCTATTGTTCTTGTGCATTAAATTTCTGCTTTTGATGTATATCGAATAGCATTTTGTGTTAGAGATCAATGTAAACAAACATTGAAACATTCTTTTTAATGTAGCCAACTTGTGAACTCGAGTACATGCGACCTTTGAAAGAGGAAAAAAAACATGCATAGTTAGTTGATGCATCTAGTCGAAAGTGTGCTATGAGAAAGCTAGTTAATCATATAGAAAAAACAATCTTAACAAATCGTCTTACTGCGTATTCGAAAATAAAATTACCAAAGGTAGTTATGGTACAATTCTATCAATTAGTAAATAAATAAGATACATTTCTATTTGAGTTTTCATAAAATGAAGAGTATAATCTTAAAAGGGTCATGCAAAGAAGATTAATACATTTTTAACGTAGCATATTAATTAGTAATGTTTTTGTTGTTGTTGTTGTTATTCACACATCTTGAACTATAATAAGAATGAAAAAACCATACAGATAAGTGCTTGTCTAATCAATTTTTTTTTATCTAAAATTTTAAAGTACGTCTTGAAACTCAAGTGAAAATGTTAGATAAAAACAAAAAGATATAACTGAGTTGTTCATTTCAACAGATACTTCTTTAAAATCAATGAGCTTTGTACGATAATAAAGATTTGCTTTTGAAAATATGTATATGATTAGGATCAAAATTATGCACAGGATATGCTGAATAAGCAGAAAGAACTGATTATAGCTTATTTTATTTTGAATTGCCAAAGCCATCATATCACGTCGAATAAACGGCCATGGTTACTAATATCTTAAATGTTTACCAAATTTTGACAGTTATATTTCGTGACATTCGAATAATTCTACTTATAATAATTCCTAGACATGTGTCACCATCACGTTAACATGTTTTAAACTTGAATTGCTGTAAAAACAATTGAATAAATTAAAACGACTGATATTTCGAAGAGGATATATTAATCTTACCTTTTTTTTTTATTACAATCTTTTGAGAACTGTCGAAATTATCTATTCTATTGATCAAGATGAGTTTTAATGCAATCGAGTAATTTATTCATGACATCAACGAAGTATTTTAAGAATGAGTGAATAATCATGCGTTATTTCAAAATACAATAAGCTTTATTTTAAATAATTTATCAATTCAATGACGAAGATGAAAAAGCAAATTACTTCCGAGACGTACTATAATATAAAATTCCTATAGAGAAACTTGTACAGATACTGATTTAGTTTTAATTGAAAATTCCTGTACTGTTATTTAGTACTTTCAATAGTTGTTTCTGTAAGCTATTATCAACAATAATCTGTAGTTATGGCCTCATAAGACTCCAGTCATTAGATATTACAAGGATCGTATACGATCTTTGTGATTTTTTTATCTGGGACCTACATACTGTAAACAATAATAAAAAAAGGTGGCCTATTGTAAATTGTAAAGCCTTTCACGTTGCATCTTTTGATATATTTTGTTTTTTTCAATTAATTTCTTTTTTTTCTCATAAACTTAATCTCTCATATTTAAATGCAAAGATATTGAATTTAACGTCTTAACAAAATAGTGATACTATGCTACCTATCTTCTAAAAAGTATATATTTCGTACGATTAGAACGTTAGTTTACTCGGAAAAAAACTATGCTAACGTTATTAGTTGCTCTTCTTTGTAATATGAAATTGAATATTAAATAATTTATGTAACAAATAAAAATGAGATTTTTTCTAGAACACTACATGTTATAGAATACTTATGTAATTCAGTATACATTTCGCAACTTAAAAACAACAACAACAACAAAAACAACGGAAAGTTAGATGTCCATAATATGATAAAATTCACAATTAATAAGTTTAATTTGATGAAAAGATCTACTTAAACTTCTCATAGTTTCATCCATATGTATTTTAACATAAAATGAAAATTAAGTATTCTTGATCGTAATGAGAAAATCAATTAAATTTCATATGGTAAGTGATCATTAGGGTTTTAAAATAATATTTATAAAAGACTTTGCATTAATGGTGATAATTTTGTTATATCTGTATAATTCGATACTGTTGATTTAAGCTCATCAATTAATTTTTGTAATTTTACTATACCGGTAGTAAACTGTAAAAATAATTTTGATGAGTTTTCAAAACCATAATAATGTAAAGAATATTTCCAAAATAATTCACTGTAAATATTTTGAGCTTTAAATATATTTAATGTACATATATGTGATGATGAAGATTTTAAAGTAAAATGACTGGAAAAAAGCGTAATTAAAAAGAATATTTTTATTATTTCATCATCGATTTGTATAGTTTCGCATAGTTTACATCGAATTTGTTTTATAATATCATGAAATTCTTTATTTATTGTATTTATCCAATCTTTTTCAAGAAATAATGGATCATTTGTATCTTGTTCATGATATGTTGCATTTTTCGTATCATAAATAAATATTGAATGTAAGAAAGCTATTGATAATGTATTTAATTTAACAAGATAAACTTGTTCATCTTTATCTAATTTTTGAAATTCTGGTATTTGTTTAAAAAATGTTATTAAACGCATTGATGAAATAAATATTGGCATACGAAATAAATCATAAGTTGATTCAATTGGTTGAATTAAAGGATATTGTAATATACCAGTTGTTTGATTTAATTTAACAGCTTTAGTATAAGCATTTTGAAGTAATTGAACTTTTAATAAATCATTTTGAGTTAAATATACCCGATTAGAAAGTGTTAATAATAAATTATAATTATCTGTAGGCTAAGAAAAAAGAATAAGAAAAAAAATATGTTGTGTTATTTAATATTTACTTCAGTTTTTGGAAACTGTTGTGGAACTAGATTTTGTTTTGAACGACGATTTTCTTCAATTTTTATTCGTTTTGCTTGTCTTCTAATATATAAATACTCTTTTTATTATATATATAATTATTAAATAGACTTACTCTTCCGGTGTTAAAATCCATTCTTTACGCATTCCTAAAAAAAAATAAAAGATTTTTAGATTATTTGAATTACTTCATTTTACCTGCAGAAAAGCATTTTGTCAATCGACATTTTTTACATCGTTTTCTTTGATCAAATTTTACATTACATTTATTATTATTACGACATTTTAATTTTCCCTAGAAAATTTTTTTATAAACATATTGTTTTTTTATATTAATAATTACTGATGGTTGAAGGGCATTACGACGAAAAAATGCTTTACAAGATTCGCATGAAATGGCATCAAAATTATAACCTACATAATATAGTAAAAAAAAAGAAGATATAAATAAATTTTTTTTTTCAAAAAGTTATTACCATGAGCAATACCATCGCAGACAACACATATTAAATCGAGTTTACGATATTGTCTTGCTGGCTTTCTTTTATATTCCTTTGGTTGAAATTTGTTTACAAATTATGTGCTTGATTTTTACATGATATCTCTTTGTAGTGAAAGACAATCCTAAAACAAATGAATTATTTACGCAAATTTGTCTAACTTTTTAAAATTGATGATATTTTCTACTTATATTCTTAGCGAATAGTAATTATGCATGCGATGAATCTTAACTTCAGTTGGACGTTCAAATCGAACAGTTCGGTTTCGAAAATTAATCAAAAAGTATAGCTAGTATCGAATAGCTCTGTACGTTTTCAACTATTTCTGAATGCTTATAATCGATTATATAGTAAATTGTATTTCAATATGTCAAATTCTTCAATTTATGGATCATTGATTTTATTGCGTAGAGCTTTATCAAGGTCAATCTTCGAAAAGCTTACTTTATCTTAGATGTGCTCTTTTAACATTTAATTAAAAATGATAGAAGCAAAATGCTAAGAAGCAGTCCAAGCTGAAATCAAATATTCGGGGTCAATATATGCCTAGTAATAAAAACTTAGGAATACAACTGTAAATAGTTTCTAACAATTATATCTATTTCACATTGTCTACTTGTTTTTATAATCCAGGTCGACCAATCCGATTAGGATCCTGTACTGAATTCTATCGGAATCCGACAAAATTCTATAGGATTTTGGGTGATGGATTCACTTTTGATTCCATCGTTTCAGAATCCCATCGGATACAAATATCGGATTTCATGAGATCCGATAGGAACCTAAGGTCTTAATACAATATAGCTAAGAAGAATGCTCATAAAATTCGCAGCAACTGACTGATATTTTTCCGACGGAATCCAACGCAAATTCGTTACCAGAAATCCTGTAGAATTGTGTAGGATGATCGGATCCGTTGTCGGATGTATGAACCTGGGTATTTTCACATGATTCAGAGTTTTAGATTTATAGATAACTAATTGACTAGCTGATAGAAATTACTATTTGTAATGGTTGGATCTAATCCAGATGAAATTTAGTGGCCGAACATACCGACAGACAAGGCTAAATAGCAGTGCAATTTTGAAAGAAACTCAATAAAATATTCTAATCTTCATTCAACACGTTCGCTCGCTCATACCCATCTTCAATGTTATTTACATATATATTCATACGCTTGCTTTCATAGATTATTTATCAATATAATTTTCTTTATCTCAAACGCAACTATAAAACTCGCATTTAGTTCACTATCATTATCTCTTTCGCTATACCATTAGTTATTGTACATTATTCTCTATTCACTTTTTCTATTACAAATCTTGACTGCCTTTTTCGATCTTGTTTCAAAACATTTGTATGTCTTACTTCTTCATTCATTATCTTATTAAAGCACTTGAGATCGCATCTAGTTACTTTTCATTCTCATTGTTTACGTCATTCTCGAACAATCTTTTGCCTTGTTATTTTTTCTAAAGAATTTATCTGATTATTCGACATAATAGTCAGTTCTCGTCTTATCTAAGAATATAAATAACAATGTTTTCACGATCTTGTTAATATAATAAACACTATATAAAATTAAAATAATGTAATTTAATTTACTCATTCTATTTCCAATTACATATTTTAATTATTTATTATATAATATAAATATAAAATGTAATAAAGAAATCATCTGGATCTAAAATTATCTTATTCGTTTTATTTTATATAAAGCTACTTTACGCGTCGCTCATCTATTAACAGAATTAAGTATAGTTCAGATTGATCGATCAAGCATATCATGAGATAATAGGTATATTCATAGGGTATTTAACATTTATACATAAATAAACGATACAAACGTCGAATATCTATCGATAAAAACAGAAGTTCAACAAAACAATTTTAAAAATCTAAAATAGATCAAAAACGATTACATTTAATTCAAATAGAACGATATATTATATACCTAAAGTAAACGTATTGTATAGGGAAGAATGTATGCCTTGCTGCGATTAATACGAGAGAATAAAAATGCATGTTTAAGAAGGCAAATAAATGTGCTATATGCTCTTTTTCGTTATTTCTTTTCTCTACACTGTTGGACCGTCTAGAGAGAATGAATGACGGGGGACAGAATTGAGAAATGTTCTTTTAACCTTTTCTCATAAGTGGCCTTGTAAAAAAAGCTAATAATAGGGAGAGGAAAACTTTTAAACAAAATAATAAGTTGTTTACTTTTAAATTTTCTGTTACATGTAATCCATACATATCTGAAAATGACATAGACGAAGATCTTATATGTGAAAAATAAGACATATGATAAATTCTGAAGAAGAATTACAAAAGAGTATGTCACATGGCCAAGCACGTGTACAAAATAATGTGCTCGCATCTCATCGTAATGGTTCGTATGATACTACTGTACCTGGTAATGACATCTACAAGCGTAAAATTATTATAGGCGAAAAAATCAAAAATTATAAACAAATTTGCTGATAGTTATATAGATAAGAATAAAAACAACGAAAATATTAGCACAATATTTATAATGTTTAATTAAAAAAACACGTACCAGTCTATAGATTATTTTTCAGTCGTTTAGGTATTAAGACAAACTCTTTTTTTTTCTTTAATTCGCTGTATCAATTACAATTAGTGTCAGCCATTCATTCTTTGTGGTGGACTGTCATTTTAAAATGAGACAAAATTTGTCAAGGTTGTACGGATATAATGATTACACGTGTGAAATACGTTTTCAACGTTCAAATATTATTATTATATCTGATTTTGTCTGTACGAATCTAATACCTACCATTAACAAACGCCATATAGTATCTTGTTCTAGCATTTTTGAGTCTCGTACGCTCAGCCATTTATTAAATTTCAAGTTTAGTCCAATATCAATCCAATTTGACAGTTTTTTTATTTTATATGAAGTAGAAAAAATATGTTGATGATAATAACTTATGTCCAAACATATTTTTGATACATAAAATCTCTGACTATAACTCAGTTTTAAACAATCTATTCAATGCTATTATAGTGGCGTATCCCGAGAAGAAGCAGAGCTACCTCTTGTCCCTCCTCCTTACAAATGTGGTCGAAGTGAACCCAAGGAACTGGGTTTTCTCAACCAATGTTTTTTTGACAGTGTCACTAGATATCACATTATTACTTTTAATAGAATACAACTGATTAAATTTCATACTGAGCTAAAAACAGTCATGGTTACTTAATAAAAACAATTGCGTGTTATATACTACCAATCAAGATAGGAGTATCAGATGATAGGTAACCTGAACAGAAGATTTCAAATACCATCTCTTTTTCTATCTGTCTCGATATATATTATCTCTGAATGCTTCCATACTTAATCTTACTTTATGCAATTCGATATATTTCTCACTAACTCTCTTGCGCATATAAGAAATTTGACGAAGGAATGGACATTAATTATACATATGAATACGAAAATATTAACTGATTAAAATGTATTAACATTAATTGAATTAGATAAATTAAGACATATCTGAAGTTTCATTTTTAAAGATCTTTTTCAAACCAGACATTATTCTACAGAGATATTTGTGTACTAAAAAGCTTCCTATCATAGTTTTCATATATACATATGTTTTTTCTAAAACTGTACGTTCTTTACAGTCATAAAATGAATACAACTTTCTTAATCTGGATATGTGGATGATAATCTTTCAAAAAGTGAAATATTTGTTATATATCTAAAGAATAAGAAGCCATGATTTGTGGAACAAATTACTAATTTTTCAAATCAATTACAAAGTATTATACAGATTCAAAGCTACATTCTTGTTGAAAGCCGATTATATCCTGTGACTGATTGAGTGCCACAGACGCCTATTGAGTAAGGATCGTTTTAAACTCAAATTATACAAAAAAAACCGAAGAATATTTGTGTAATAAAATCAATCTAATCGATAAAAAAATTTTAGTTTGAGATCTCACAGTATCTAGCGTATAAGCAACTTGCTCAATTTAAACACAGATAATCGTCAAAATTGTTGGCTCAATATTTCGCTATCATGTCGATAATGAATTAGTAAATGAAAAAAAAATATTATTTTACTTCTGAAATAAGCTACGTCTAGTTTGTATCTTCATACGAAGGTATATAATCCATAGTAGATATTCGCTTTCTGTTCTAATATATTGAACATGCTCATGAAAATAGAATTCATTGAAGCTCAATACAAACTACGATAGAGTATCAAATAATATCGAATAAAGAACTTGTATTACGTAAAATAAGTATATGTATCTTTATCATTATAAGTTACCCATGTAAAAAAATTTGACGTAAAAATCAACTGAAAAATGGTTATAATCGGTTAAAATTTGATTAAAAATCGATTTAAATCATACACCTTTAATCGATTTTTGACATTTTTAACCGGTTCTAATCGGATATAACCGAGAGAAACTCAACTTTTCTTGATTATTATGAAAACTATAATTAAAATCGATTAAGAATTCACAAAAAATTGATTATAATTGATTTTTGTCAATGACAAATGAGAAAATATAGTTCGGTTTTCATCGATTACAATCAATTTTTTCTGAATTCTTAATCGATTTTAATTGTAGTTTGTCATAATAATCCAGAAAAGTTGAGTTTTTCTCGGTTATATCCAATTAGAAACGATTAAAAATGTCAAAAATCGATTTTTAATCAAATTTTAACCGATTATAATCTGATTTTTCTTTAAATATTTGTACATGGGTACTGATTCTTTATAAGAATCATCGAACTAGCGCTACCTATCTATCAACCAAAAAGTTTATGACATTCATCATTATCAAATTACTGTAAGAAGAGTCCGTAGTGTTAAATAGATGTTATAATAATCCATATAAGATTAGATTGTTGTGTATGATAAATATTTATAACAAAATCTAAGCTAGATACAACTACTATATATAACTATTTAAGTTTACTATCGACGAAGAAACTATTTACTAATGTTATTTTTTTCCACTGTATTTATGTGACAAAAGTATTTGTTAAAATCTTATATACTCGATCAGAATAGATACTGGAAGAGGAAAAGATTTTATGAACAAGTTAATCTTAAACACACTATAATCGATATATCGATGATTATTGATTAGTAATGAACCAACAATTGGCACTAGTATATTGAATATTACTTACTCCATAAGCAATATATTATCCATTTTTATTGAAGGATAGATAACGATTTGTTTTGATTGTACACAATAGTATGTCTAGTTATTGTACATGTGCTTTGTATTATGATACTTGATAAAACGGTAAACATGTTATTTCGATGACAATATTTCAGGTTTTCTATAGCGTCAATCAGTCTATCCTCAACACAACATTTTTTCTTTCTCTTTTCTTTTTGTCATATCGAATTTACTGACTATTATGATAGGTTTTGATTAGATATGACATTTTTGTTTTGTTTATACTTATGAATAGAGGTAAATACATGAGAAATTAGGTGATATAAGAAAAGAAAAGACATTTATATCAAATGAACTTAAACAGAGTTTATAACAATATCAGTATTTATTGACAGAAATGTATCAGAGCGATGATTGTAATATTTTTTGTATAACTTAATTTAAATTCAGAAGCTTTCATAAATCATATAGTTTATAAAGATGGTTTTGATACTTTATGCAAGTTTAGAGGATTAAATTTTGGTAGAAAATCGATCCTACATTTTTACAATACAATTATTGACAGAAAACATATAACAAGTTGCCAGTAATTCCATACAAAATTTCATTTTATGTAAAGAAAACCATTAAATACAACATAGTATATAAAAATCATTATATAAGAGGTCATCACTATGTTCATTGAATCGAATATTTTCAAAGAAAAAAGCTATTTTATATCTAATCTTTGATCTTGTTACAAGTTAACTCAATATACAGGTAAAAATGACTGACATATATATGAAAAATAAAGATTAGAAATAATAAATTTGTTTTTTACGTTAGAGAAAAAGAATGAATAAACGTAAACAAATTGACCCTATACAATAGATGATATAAACCATTCGCATGTTGATATTTATAAACAAATTAGAACACATATCATTTGTTACAAATCTTTTCATTCACCACATGACATACGGAAATGTCAATCATTCATTTAAATATTCTTTTAATTGACTTTTGATCACATCCTATGATAATACAATTATCAATCACTCCTATTCATGATATAGCGAGTATGTTAAATAATTATTCTCTATCTTTGTATTGGAGAATGAACGAAAGACGATTCAGCGAAATAATTTTTCTTGATGAGGATGAGCGCGAAAAGTATTTTGTAGTTATGACTTTCGGTCAATGGACACCATATCTTGATAAGTACTCGACGCAGAGGTTGTACATATATTTATTTATAGAATATAGAAATTTTCTATCCGTGAATTGATTTATTGCCATGAAAGAAAACCTGTTCATTTTTTACACTGTATAACAGTTCTGTTTGTTTGTATTACGAATATTTTCTTATTCGTTCATATCATATGTTTGTTCTTTACCTTATTGTCCTACCTGTATAAAAAGAATAAAAGATATCACTGACATCTACTGTGAATAATTTATTTCTAAGAACGTTTTAGAATATATTCAATATTTGACTGTATATATTTTTCTTGTTTGATTTCTGATACATGTATCGGAGATTTTATTCTAATTATGGTTGTCAAATTTAAATCTATTGGTTAATCGATTTATCTATCGAAAATCACTGATGAAAAACACTGCCGGCCGTATGAAAGAAAGAGAATTCTTTCGAGTTTTTATTCTTTCTTTTACCTTTTTTTTCTTCTTTTTTTTTAATGGTATTTGTTGAGCGTAGGTGTTCGATGGCAACAGTCATGTCCCGTTACCCAAAAAAAAATTTTCGTCATTCTATCTTAATTTAATCTACTTACTGATGATTATTATTTTGTATTTTTGAATATTTAATTTTTGTAATAAATCGAAGAAAAAAATTTATTTAATGTATTCATTTATTTAGAAATCAGTTGGTCTGATTCACCCTCAAGAAAAAAGATGTCATTAATAATTTTATATTCAAAATCTTTTTAGATTTCTTTCTTCGTTGTCAAGAAGATGGACGACAACAATAACAATATATTTGATGTGTTAGAATCGGTAGGTTAAAATAATTCTCTTTATATAGAATTAATCTTTTTTTTTCTTTCTTAATATTTATAGCCATCATCTCCAAAATCAATTAATGATTCACAAGTTAAATCAACAACAACAATATCATCGACTAATATACTTTCTATTCGCCGTTCCCATCTTCCGTTGATGAATGCAGGCAGTGGATTGTATCCTTCTTCTTCATCATCATCTGAACCATCATCACCCGGTGAAGTTCAACGACAAAAACGAAGAGTAAACAATAATTCAATAGAAGACAGAACAAAATTGATTTTTGTATTTAAAATTAGGATCGTGCACTACATGGTCTTGGTTTTGCTAATCCCGGTCCAAAAAATTTAGTAAATGTAGCTAATGTACCACCAAGACGTTTAAAAACTCGTGAACCATCTACACAAGAAAAACCCAGGTAAGACTAAACTATGCAAAAGAAAAATTTTTATGATTCATAAAATAATAATTTCGGAAGTATGTCAAATATTCGAAGATTTTATATTTGATAAGAAAAATATGACATTGAAAAAGATAGGACAACTATTGACATTAGAACATTCCAATTTATTTTCGTAATATGAATAGATAAATGTGTAAATAATTATGTGTTATTTTGATTTCGATTTGTTTCGGTCTTGAAAGACTCAAGGTTGTTCTATTAGAACCGTATAATTAGTAATAAATCGCACATGTTTCAAGGTTAATAACTTTATTTTTAGTGCCAGTAAACCCTTGTATGATAAATCAGGTCTTCTCATATCCGATCAAACTGATCGATGTGATTGTAATCGTCTAAAATGTCCCGGATGCTTTTTACCTTGTACAAATTGTCAATCATCAAAATGTGGTCTCGAATGTCGTGAGTATTAAGATTTTAAATTTAAATTTTATCTGTTATTTTTTTTATTTAATAGGAAATCTTCGAACTTATTCTTATGAATATCGTTTGTATGGTACAAACAAAGAAATAACACAGCAATAAAAATCAAGTGCAATATCTTACTTCTTTTTTTTTTGTACATCTATTAATATTCTTAAAACTGATAATAATTTCTTATAAGGCAATAGTTTTCTTTTCTTTTTTTTTGTTCTCGAAATATTCTTTATTATTATTTTTTGAACTCATATTGAGTTTACTTCTAGAATAACATATGCTCGTGCGGAAAGCGCAGAGTAAAAAGAAATCAACGACAGGTTTGCCTACTGTCATTCCGTTAGACAGTAGTTTAACATCAATAGAATGGCTACCAAATATGCAAATAGGAGAAAATTCATCATCATCATCAACAACAATAACGACAACATCAGTACTAACACCAACGACACCAACATCTGTTAAACATTCTTTACCTGTCACAACTAATTTTCAACATAAAATCGAGGCTACGGAAGTCGAAATACCAACAACAACGGTTAGTGATAGTGCTCACGCTAAACCTCCATACAGTTATGTGACATTAATTCGACAAGCTATTCTTAGTGCTAGAGGGCAACGAATGACATTAAATGAAATTTATCAATGGATTGTTGATTCCTATCCATATTTTCGTACAGCACCACCTAAATGGAAGGTTAGATTTAGTTATTTTTCTATACAATACATGTATATAGATTCTTATAGAATTCAATTCGTCATAATTTATCATTAAATAAATGTTTTAAAAGACTTCAAAGAAGTACAAATGATCCTGGAAAAGTATATAATATAATTATATTTTGTATTTATGTTTTTTTATGTTTATATATTAGGGTTCGTATTGGGCAGTTGATGAGACAACTGATAGTAATAATCAAATGAATTCTCGTAAACGAAAAGTATAATGAAAAATTTTATTTTCATCTATATAAAATTTAAATTGATTTCTTAGTTTGACGATATACAACCATCTCCGCATTTATTACCTTTATCACCAGGTGGTTTACTTCAACAACCACATGGATTTTATACAAATAACAATCCAATGATTTGTGGTGATATTAGTAGTGTTGGAGGACAATCTTCATCTACAGACGAATCGGATTCTACTATGTCTCTTGCAGCAAATGTAAGTTATTTTCATCTAAATTAAAATTTAAAAAAATGTGATAAATCATACATTTATAAGAAGTGTGAAAATTTCTATCGTTCATTTTTCAACACTTGACTTCTCGATTTAATTAACTTATAAAAAGATATAAATTATTTTCTTTTAAATAGCAGACTTTATTACAATGGGATGATTTAAATCTTGATTTAACTGCTTCATTTCGTCGATTTCGTGAACAAGTCTTGGATGTTGCTCCATCAATGTTAACGACAACAACTTCCGGTATAAAAGAAAATTTCTTTTTTTTATATAGACATATTTTATATTTTTAATAGATATCTCATCTACGAATCATATAAATACAACTACTTGGAGTTATGATCTATTTCCAAATGGCGAAACAAATAGTTTTTTTGAAAGTGTTAAATTAGCATCAAGCGGAGAAATCAATTGGAATGAAATTGATGTTAAACCTTATTGTGGTAAAAAATTTCTTTATGAATTTCTTTTTATATACAAATATTTTCAATTATAGAATTTCTTGATGGTTTTCGAACAAATTCAACATTTCAACAACAAGATCGAGAAAAATTTATGAATCTTGCTACATCACTTTCGTCGTTTTTTGATTATACAGGAATTACTAATTTGGCACAAACAAGGATTGCAAGTAAGATTGACTGACAAATATATTAATCATCGATAAATAAGTAGACGAAATAATATTAGATTTAACTAGAAAGAAATTCATTGAAAATATTTAGAGTCAGTGGCGGATTTAGGGAGGCGATCGCCTCCCCCTTCAGAAAATTTTTTCGATTTTTTACAGCAAAAATAGCTTCACACTAACCCCCCCCCCCCCCACCTATAATAGAACGCCTCCCTATAATACAAGGCCACCCTAAACAGAACGCCACCTACGAACGTTTGATACGTTAAACCCCCCTCCAAAATGAAACGCTACCCTGAATAGAACGCCACCCAAAAAAGACCGATTCGTTAGGTCGCAATAGAAGACCATGCCTTTTTATTATGGGGGGGGGGGGGGCGGTTACTTCGATTGGACTCAAAAAATAGCTTTTAGCCAAAATCGCGCCCCCCCCTCCCCTTCCAGAGTTCTACATCCGCCACTGTTTAGAGTATAATTCAAGTATAAAGTTTAAATATTTCTTTTTTTTATCCTAGATGAATCATTTTCAGGAAATCGATTACCTATAATACCACATCGATTAACAGCGGACTCAATGAATAATGTAAAATTTGTATTTTTCTTTTTATTTAAAATAATTAACGCTATTTATTTTAGCCGAATTCACTTCCAGTTGTACTTGAAGAAGAACCAACTTTTGATTGGGATTCAATAACATAATAATATTATGTCAATTGATTGTATATATATAGATATATATATAGACATAAGAGAGAATCAGTGACATTTCCTTTTCTTTTTGATTTTTGTTTTTTTTGAAATTTATTTATCAAATTCATTTTTCCGTCCAAATAAGCAAAAAAAAAGAAGAAATGTAGAAATGCTCAAGAGTATGATAAATATCATTCCGTTTATTTGTATACGTATTTGTAATCAATGCAATAAGTTTTTCCCATATTGTACAAAAGAAAATTAAACAAAAAAAAATAATAATAATAACAGTATGTTTTTGTGTTCATTTTATTCATATTTCATATTATACATTCTGTTGGTATGTGTGTTGGGTTTGTTTTTATCTGTATACAGTAATCGGCCGGTGTGTGCTTATTATAATCACTTGTCGTATTATATTTAAAAAAAAATGTCTGTGTACAGCACCATACATATGTAGATTGTTTTGATCAAAATAAATTAATAAAATTATATTATTCATGTTTATTTAATAAATAAATTAAAAAAAAATTTGAAATGAATTTTAATTATACGAGTTAAATTATGATTTTACGGTTCCACGACATTTGCGCGCATGGGCACTTGAGCGCAATGACATTTTCGCGCAAGACATAAGCGCGCAAATTTTTTGAAATAAAAATTATAGATTAAATATTAAATTACGTAAACAAAATCTACATACCATCTGATGTATCTTGTTTTATTCGAAGAAGTTTTTCAATAACATGAGAGTATGTGTGTGTGAACATACGATAATACAATATCCACAACCACCCCTAAGTAGATTTTGTTTGAGTAATTTGATATTTAGTCTACAATTTTTATTTTAAAAAGAATTGCACGCTTATGTCTTGCGCTCAAGTGTCCATGCGCGAAAGTGTCCGCGCACAACTGTTGGTGCGCAAATCTCGTGCCACGGATTTTACTCATTTATATATATGCAAAAATATAAATAGATTGTTTAACATTTATCAGAATGAATATGATAACACAAATAAAATAGTATCAAGGTCATATTTCATGTTATGTATCATTATGTAAATTTGGAATATTTTCCTGTAATTTATCTTTAGTTTTTCTCATGTTGTTTTTGTACTTTAAATAACTTTTCAATTATCTATCATTATTAAAATTTCTTCAGTTGAATAAAAAAAAAATAGCGATGATTCATTCAAAACAGTTGTTTGAATTAATTTCTTTGTTTTTCTCGGCAACTGAGTACAATTATTAATAAACCTTCGATAAACTATTTAATTAGTGTTTTAATTCAAGCATATAGAGCACTGATTCACGCTTTTCAAATGAATAAATATAACTTTCATAAGTATCAGTTGATTAATTAAAATTATGGACGTAAGCTGAATAGACCATTGCTTAATCATAAACTATTTGATATGCAAGTTACGGATTAAAAATTTTAAAAGTAAATCTTTTAAAGTATTTTATGATATGTAGAAATAAAAATATAAGGCATAGTTTGATGCACTGTCATAGTAACGATTGCTTGATTTCTAAAACAATTATCAAATACACGTTCAACGACCCTGTTGTTGAGTATATTTTAAAGTACATTGTGTTCTACTCTTCAATCTAGCATGTCTTTTTTTTCTACTAATTTGTTTGATCATTTTTTGTGGAATGTTATTCTTTCCAAGTAACATATTACATTATTTTTTGTCATTTTTCTTTATCAATTATCTCATAACTTGCCGGTTAAATCAGATGGAATCTATCAACATGTTTTTAGCATTAATATCATTTACGGTAATTAAATCCTATAGTTTTTCTTTAGTATTTACATTGTTAAACATTTATAATAAAAAAAGAAGACTGAAAGAACGAGAAGATAATTTTTCTGCATGATTAATTATTTTGATCCTACTCATCATTACATTATTGAAATTGAACATGCTTATATGAGAAGAAAAATTTCATATGAGCATATTTTAGATCTGTTAAATGTAGCATAGATCAAAAAAATAGTACATGATTAATGATCATAAATATAAATATGCTATAAATGTAGATAAATACTTGTCAAAATCTTTTCTGCTAGCAATATATTTGATCATAAGAAGAATATGACATTTTGACATAAAAAATAATCTAGAATCTTCTGTCTAATACATAATAATAATGAAAAAAAAAAGTTTTTTTTCTTTCTATCGAAAAGAAAAAACAAATGTTTAGAATGTCTTTGTTTTTTCTTAATACAATAGTTTGTTAAGAATATTATATTTCTATATATATATATAGAAATGAATATCTATTCATTTAATAAAAGTGAGAAGTGTTTATTAATGAGAACATTACTTACATTTGAATATGATGATGAATTTTTTATATAATTTATTTAAATGAAATTTAAGAGAATATGACCGCATTAATGCGACATAGATTTTTTATTTGTTGTGAAAAATGTTTTAAGAATTACAGACGAAAAGAAACAATGGGGGAGAAAAACTGGTCGTTTATATAAATGATGGTACTTCACTCTTGAGTGATTGAGTATATGTTTGTAAAAAGCAATCTTTACCACCTCGTGCTGAAGCGCTTTGTCCGTAGATTTTATCAATCTAATTAAAAGAAAAACGTTTTATTTTGAAAATATTACACTTATTTGTTTTTTTCTTACTTGTTCGATTGGCATACGATTGCAACTATCAGCACAATCGCACATTGGACCACAATTATCGGCTGCCTTCTTTTTACGCTAAACAAAAAAAATCAAGGATAATATTTAAAAAAAAAATTTTTTTTTAAAATGTTACAGAAGCAAATGGATAATCTTCAACACATTTGTAGCATGCTTCGAGACAAGCTAAATCTTCAATAAATCTCGGCGATAGACCAATTGATGTTGATGCATCCGATTTTGCTACATTTGATGATGATGAGCCGTGTTGTTTCTGACCGTCTATACTATAAATTGTATTTGTTTCAGTATCAATTAATTTTCCCATAATATTTCGAAGAGCACGTTGTTCTTCATTACTTCGAAATAATCGATTCATATGATGTTTTTGAAATTTAATATCATTATGAATAAAGGCCATATTCATACCAATAAGCATAACAAGTGAAAGATAGAATAGGCAAACCATATTTAATAATTGGTTCTATTCTAAAATTATAAATTAAATTTTCTCTTCCTATTTAATCTGTCTAGAAAAAAACAAAAATTTATTTATTTATATATGATATGGATAACTAAAACGATATTTATTTTAATAATCTGTGTGTAAATATATTTTTCATACTATCTCGTAATTAATTAAAAGATTCTGTTTAATTTGTGTCCATACGGTCTGTATCCTATTATTAAATACTTAAGTATTGTTGTAGCAAAAAAAAACATCGGAAACATGATAAACACTTAGTATTTACTTTCGGTTCAAAAGCGTTATAACATATTACGTTCAAGATGAACTTACTGGAATTTTTTTGATGGATGACTGGATAGGATGAGAATGAAGTTGAAATGAGCTTTAAATGGAGAAGAAATATGTCGTATCCATTTTCTCTTTTTTTCTTCTCTTGGTGATGAGGATATATATTTAAAAAGAAAGAGGTTGACACTCATTGACTCATACGAACAAAGAGAAAAAAAGAGATAGAATGGAAAAACAAAATATATAGATTCTTCTTATTCTAGGGTAAAGATCTTCATTTTTTTCTCTTCAATTAAATATAATAATATTTTGATTTTATATTTATATCTTCACAATTATTAAACAACATGATTCTTTTCACACCTACACTACTCTTACAAATTCTTTTGAAAAATAATTATTCTATTCAATACATGTCAGCATATATAATCATATTTAATAATTTTTGAAATTAAAAAGATAAATGATGTTATTTTCTTATGATTGTATTAGTTTTTTTCATAGATATCAATTGAACAATGGTAATTATTTATTTACACTTTTTTTTTATTATTTTAACAAAGAAAGATGCGCAATAACCATTACATTAATGTATCAATTAAAAATTCTATGACGAAAGCATAACGCCTTTTCATTTTATATACTTCTTTTTTTTTCCATGACTTACGGCGTAAAATATGATTTTCTATATGATTAATACATATCAATGAATAAGATTTATTTTTATAACAAGGACATTTTATACTATCAAGATGTTTAATTAAAAATATGAATAAACACGAAGAAATTTCGTAATATTTCATTAGATACAAGTACGACTATATAAATCAATTGACTAACTTTTGTTTATATTTATCAACATTATATTTTAAAATCGAAAAAATAAAAATAAAAAATAATTTTTAAAACGAATAATATATTTACGAAAAAATAAAACGTAAACGATTACAATGCAGCAATATTTAATAGCAAAAAGCTGTGTGCGTATAATTAATAAAAACGTCGAGTCTTTTTTATTGTATACATAAAAAAGACTTATCTTATAACTTAGGGCAAAAAAAACAATAATCAAATACCAAAAAATGAACCAGACAGGGAAGAGATATTCTTCTAGTCTACATAACAATATCATAAAAAGGCAAAAAACAAAAAAAAAAAACTTTAAAGTAAAGAAGTTTTTTCTTAATATAGAACATATTAAATAAAAGTGAAAAAAACTCACTTTCAGAGAATTATCCTAAATGCGTCTGTCAACGAAACAATACTTGAAACAAAATTATCTGTCATAATAAAAAAAAAACAAATAGAAAACGATTAGAATTTTTTTTTTCGCACACCTCGAAAACGACAAAGAGTTCTCTCTTACTCAGGCATAGCGCAACATACGATTCTTACTCGTCCACTACAACCTGGTACACCTAAATGTGCACTACCCATTGCTGGGTAGCCACCAGGTTGTGGATAAGCACCTTGCTGAGGAAAAGCACCAAACTGTGGCATAGCAGCTTGTTGTTGAAAGCCACCAAATTGTGGATAAGCAGCTTGTTGTGGATAAGCAGCTGGTTGTTGGAAGGCAGCTTGTTGTGGAAAGCCACCAAATTGTGGAAAGGCAGCTGGTTGTGCATAAGCAGCTGGTTGTGCATAGGCAGATGGTTGAGATACACCTCCATATTGTGGATAAGCACCTCCTAGATAACCACTATGAGATTGTTGTGGAAAACCTCCATATGATTGTTGTGGTAAGGCACCATACGATGGTTGTTGAGGAAAGGCTCCATATGATTGTTGTGGATAAATACTACTAAGTTGTGGTTGAGCTTGAGGGAAACCACCATATCCACCAAAACTTTGTTGACCATAGCTTGCAAGACCTGATTGACCGTATCCTCCAAATTGTTGCTGTGGATATATACTACTAAGTTGTGGTTGAGCTTGAGGAAAACCACCGAATCCTCCAAAGCTTTGTTGACCATAACCTCCAAAGCCTTGTTGACCATAGCTTGCGAGTCCAGTTTGACCGTATCCTCCATATGATTGTTGTGGATACATACTGCTAAGTTGTGGTTGAACTTGAGGAAAACTGCTGAAGCCTCCAAATTGTTGTTGTGGTTGAGCTTGAGGAAAACCACCGAATCCTCCAAAACTTTGCTGACCATATCCTCCCAAACTTTGTTGACCATAACCTGCGAGTCCACCGAAACCTGATTGACCATATCCTGCTTGGCCAAACCCTGCTTGACCATATCCTGCTTGGCTAAACCCTGCTTGACCAAATCCACCATAACCTGCTTGACCAAGTCCACCATAACTGGCTTGACCTAGTCCACCATAACCGGCCTGGCCAAGTCCACCATAACCGGCTTGACTAAATCCACCATAACCAGCTTGACCTAGTCCACCATAACCGGCTTGACCAAATCCACCATAACCGGCTTGGCCTGCTCCACCATAACCAGCTTGACCAAATCCACTCATACTTCCGAATGGACTAGCAGCAATACCTTTACAAAACAAGATTTAAAATACATTTTAAGAAGAAAAAAATAGGTTAGTTTTAATTACTTGATAGTCCACCATATCCACCAAGTCCACCACCAAATTGTGGTAATGCTTGACTAGATCCTAATAAATAGAAAAAAAATTAATAATATTACGATATGTACTAAGATATGAAGAATATTCTTACCTCCATATGATGATAATCCTCCAAAACCACCCATCATACCTGGTGAACCATAAGCTTGTTGCGGACCTACTGATGGTAACTGCAGTGACATCGAACAACAGTTTTGTCCCATTTGAGGCATTGGCATTTGTGGCATAATTTGTTGTTGTGGTGCACAGGGCATTTGAGGCATTATTTGTGGCATCATTGGCGGTGGTGCACAGTGTTGTTGTGGCATCATCGGTGGTGGTGCACAAGGCATTTGCGGCATTATCTGTGGCATCATTGGTGGTGGTGCACAAGGCATTTGCGGCATTATTTGTGGCATCATTGGTGGTGGAGC